ACTGAAATGCATGGCATTAAAGATTAACTATATTAATAGGAAAGAAATATGTGTTTTGAACAATTTGTATAGTGTTTATGACAAATATTGCTAAATTGTAAATATTTCTTTCGATTCACATTACATGAACAAATTAATGATCCTGTAAATAATAAATATTGTCTGTGACAATGTGGATTGTTTGCTCATGTCATCAACCATTGGATTGCTACTGATATAATACAGCGGAATATTACAGTGACATGCTCAAAGAGGGATACAGGGCCATATAGTAAAGCCAAGAGCTGACGACCTAGTTTTGTATACTTCCGGGCACAGAAACTCGGTCTTTGGCGATTGTAATGGCCAAAGTTGTTTTATTTTATCATTGGTAAATTTTATTTTCTGTTTTAATTTTAGTTTTGTTTTTCTCAAATTTTTTGCTTTGGTAAAATATTAATTTGCCAAAATTTTGTTTTCCACTTCTGGGTTTGAACTCACATCTCTCTGTTTCTACTCAGTTTCTGTTAGACTTTATATCAAGGGGCTAGTAACTCTATAACCAGGGGTGGGTTACTCTAGTTTAGACTGGTTTGGGACCATGTGCTTGCCTGAGTATGCAGCACACTTAGATGAGAAGCCAAGGACTACATTACCCAAAAAATAATGGTAGGAAATCAATTTCATATACTTAGTAAATGTCTTTATCTTTCTTTAAGTGTTATAAAGTAATTTTTTAGAATTTATCATTTGTAATTTTTTCAGTAAATTCTATTTCTTTGAGTTGTTTTTTTTAGTAGGTCTAATTTCTATCATTTTCTTTGGTATTTTTTCTTGAGTAATTTAACTCAAAATCACCTTTTATTTTGTTTCAGTTAATCTGTTAGTATTAAGAAAGAAATTGCTTGACTTTTGGAAAGGAATTGGAGCAATGGACCTTCAGTGTGTTTGAACACCAAAGAATACATCACCTCAACCAAGAAGGATTCTTTTTTTCTTTATTTTCACACATACAGCGATTTAATAAAACCAACAAATGCATCCCCACGGAAAGCATGTGTATATGCCTCCTACATACATCAGATTGATGTGTGCGTAATTGTCTGGTTTTCGATCATGTTGCCATACTTGTGTGACGAACCTTCACATGTTATATAGTAGGGGGGGTGGAAAGTAAACCGGGGCTTAGTTTATCGATTTTATTACCCGCAGTTGGGGCCTCTCGTAAGGATGGGAATGCCACAGTAACTCGGTGTGCCTAGTGGCTGCAAGAGTTGTATGATCCCCAGGGAGTTGAGATTAACAATACGGTGTGCCGTTGAGATTGACATCCAGTGAACAAGGAAAATACTAAGTGTCTTTGAGCAGCTGAGCTGAGCTGGATATCGGCGCTATACAAATGTTAGTATGTATGTCTGACTGACTGACTGAGTTTGGTTTTACGCCGCTTTTAGCAATATTCCAGCAACATGACGGCAGGGGACACCAGAAATGGGCTTCACACATTGTACCCATGTGGGGATTCAAACCCGGGTCTTCGGCGTGACGAGCCAACGCTTTAACCACTAGGCTACCCCACCGCCCCAGTGTGTGTGTGTGTGTGTGTGTGTGTGTGTGTGTGTCTGTGTGTGTGTGTCTGTGTGTGTGTGTCTGTGTGTGTGTGTCTGTCTCTGTGTGTGTGTGTGTCTGTGTGTGTGTCTCTGTGTGTCTGTGTGTGTGTGTCTGTGTGTGTGTGTCTGTGTGTGTCTGTCTCTGTCTGTCTGTCTCTGTCTGTCTCTGTCTGTGTGTGTGTCTGTGTGTGTGTGTGTCTGTGTGTGTGTGTACAAGGCATATAGTTGAGGCAATTCAATGTGCAGGCATACTAGGAATTAGTGTTCATGTGATGTGTCGTGGATGCTGTTGTACAAAGTTCTTCATCCTAGCTCCCATACCTTGACCCATGGCAATCATAGTGAGAAGCCTGTTTTGTTAAACAACACCTTAATGTTTCATGGTTTGTCTGTGCCAAATCCATGGTCATAGGTTTCACATCATCGGAGGCTTTCCTCCATCATCAAGCTGACATGATAAAAAAGATGAAACAGCAGCTTACAGATACATACTGATCAAAGGAGTGTGTGAGTAAGTTTAGTTTTACGCTGCACTCAGCAATATTCCAGCTATATGGCGGCGGTCTGTAAATAATCGAGTCTGGACCAGACAATCCAGCGGTCAACAGCATGAGCATCGATCTGCACAACTGGGAACCAATGACATGTGTCAACCAAGTCAGCAAGCCTGACCACCCGATCCCGTTAGTCGCCTCTTACGACAAGCATGGGTTACTCACGGGTACTGTTTAAAGGAATGTAAACAGTAATATGTTCACATATCATAGCTGTTTTTAAAATTGACACCATATTGCTAAACAGCTGTTTAGAACAGACATAAAAACAGAGCAATACATGAGACAACTGATTACTTTTTACTTACAAAGACAATAAACTTATTGTGCTATTATATTTGTTTAGAATTTGATTCCACAAATGTCCTGCTTTTAGAAACTCCAACTGTAAATAATCGAGTCTGGACCAGACAATCCAGTGGTCAACAGCATGAGCATCGATCTGCACAATTGGGAACCAATGACATGTGTCAACCAAGTCAGCGAGCCTGACCATCCGATCCCATTAGTCTCCTCTTACGACAAGCATGGGTTACTGAAGATCAATATTCTAACCCAGACCTTCACGGGTACTGTTTAAAGGAATGTAAACATGCTAAACAGTAATATGTTCACATATCATAGCTGTTTTTAACATTGACACAATATTGTTTCACAGCTGTTTAGAACAGACATAAAAGCAGAGCAATACATGAGACAACTGATTACTTTTTACTTACAAAGTCAATAAACTTATTGTGATATTATATTTGTTGAGAATTTAATTCCACAAATGCCTGCTTTTAGAAACTCCAACTTTAAGAAGTGATATACTCCATATCACTGTAATGAGTCTATAAAGTATGTGACAGTTCAACCTCCTTTGTTTCAAACCAAACTGTTTGCCATGACATCTTACAATTATATTCATGTGTGCACTGTAAAACAAATGTAACTGGTTATTCCTGTCTAACCTCAGGAATTGTTCAACATTTCCATCTGCATGCCATAAATAGATCTATCTTTTCTATTTTGTTATTTATGTTTATCATTCTCGAATAACTCTATCATAAAACATGGCAGTGCAATAACGCCAGTTCCTTACAACATCTCCCCAATCATCTAGGCTGTATAACTTGCCCTACTACTTCACAGAACCAAGCAGCAAGTCCAAGCGAACTTAGATAAAATAGAATCTGAGAAGGCTGAACAAAAAAAGAATGATGCGGAGAACATATGTTCCAGAGACAGCCATGACAGAAGGCAGTCTGATGCAGGATGGCGATCTGTGTCTGACATGGTGTAGTTTACACAAGGCTGCTAAACACATTTCAGTCTATTCAAAATCTGAAATAGTAATTATTTGTACACATCAACAATCATGAACTGTTTCTGTACATGAACAAGTCACAATCTTTCAGTAAGGTTCATACAGACATTTGTGCATAACATTTTCATAAACAGGTGCAGACATGTGGCCTTCACCTTCAGGTGAAGACATTCAGTGCAAGTTGATGTCAGACGTGTATCCTTCCAAATAATCAAAATGGGAGTACATTTACCTACCGGTAATTCATATTCAGATTTGATCCAGGCAAAGATTATAAGAGATTAAGGAAAATGTAGTTCTGACCAATGTTCCTCATATGAATCCAGTGTCTTCCTCATTTGAACACTGGCGGTGGGGTAGTCTAGTGGTTAAAGCGTTGGCTCGTCACGCCGAAGACCCGGGTTCGAATCCCCACATTGGTACAATGTGTGAAGCCCATTTCTGGTGTCCCCCGCCGTGATATTGCTGGAATATTGCTAAAAGCAGCGTAAAACCAAACTCAGTCAGTCATTTGAACATGTAGTGATAATTTAGATACCATAAATGTAAATTGTCTTCATATCAAATTCTACCTTCACGGAATCTAAATCTCCCCCAGTTAAACTAAATTTTGTTCAGATTTGACAGGGGAAAGATTGTGACCTAATCATGAAAAACAGTGTAAAATGAGTGTTAAATGAAGAACAAAAAAGTGTTAAGTACATTTCTTTAACAGGGCAAGTCTTACAATAAAGTAAACCCTTCCTCCTCCGGAGCTTGTAGAATGTGGTGAGTGTGTAACAGGGACATACACATGTGTTGCAGGTTAGGAAATGAAAAACAGAGATCACTGCAAAGATTTACACTGTCTCCCCTGTGAGCAAAGGATATTACAAAACCTCTATATCAAATGCATGTTAAGTCTGGACAAGGATTCAGATTGCTTGCCATCTGATTATTAAACACATAATCATATGAATTATATGGATTATATTTACATATTTGATCATTTAAGACACAAAATATAACTAAAACCCAATTAAATTGTTGGTGAACAGTGGAGGTTTGATATGAGTTCCCATGTTACTGATAAAGTATCTGTTGCAATAATTCACATGCTCGAAGTACCGGTATATCAACCACAACACTACGTGAACACAGCTGAGTTTGGATTAACGAGGTCCACTCTAATAAGAATACTTTAAATGTGTATTGTAAGATTCTGTAAAGAAGAAACAGTCAACACTGTCATGCACAGATTCAATAAGTACACACTGGATTGTCTGGTCCAGATTCGATTGTTTACAAACAGCATCATACAGCTGTAACACTGCTGAAACAAACAAAAACTCATGATACAGTCGGAATTGTACAATCAACTCTGCTTTAGCAAAGATTTCTGACAGATATGGAAAGGGTTTTGTGACTTCTATTTATGTGAACTGTACTGAAATCCTACAGGATTAATGGCATCTGCTCATCAGTTTGCCATCATGTCATGATACAGTGACTTCTTCAATGCATAGTTAGGAGTGAATTTTGTTTAAAAATCTTGTGTTTTCTAGCCAGGTTGTGTAGGTACTGAGAGTACAGCCAAACATCAGGAGGATGGAATAAAAAAGGAGGCCGAGGAGACAGGTGCATCTGTGCAAGGTCGTACACTCCTGGGAAACTGGAGGGAGGAATCAGCTAGACCAACATCTAGTCTCTAAAATGAACATTTTTGACAGTTGTTACATTTCTTAATGAATTATAATGATAATGAGCCAAGAGAATGTCTTTAGCTTCAGTAATCTAGACATGACAAAGATTGTTAACTTGCATGGGCTGTTTTGAATATACTTATTTCAGGGTCTGTATGACAGGCTAGCATTCAGTCTTTGCTCTTTGTTTATCATAACAGCCAAACCAAAAAATTCTGTCAGAGTCTGGTGAACAGGTTATCTTGAAATGGTGTCAAATTTTGTTTATTGTTCTGATGCTGGAAGGATAAGTACAAACAGTGATAAGATACAAGAAAGCAGAATATAGTCACAGGAGGAGGATACTCAGTACTCCCTTGAAAAATGGGAATTGAACCCAGACTTTCAACAAAATTGGAAACACCATAACCACTAGCATATCCCACATAATGTAAGGACAATGAACCAGACGACAATGTTAAATTTGATATAACCTCTCAATGCAACATATTTATTAAAACAATACATGGAAAGTGATTACCCTTGGCAGAAAAGGAGACAAAGTCTCAACAAAAAAACATGGCAAAACTTTTTTAGACTTAAACTGATGACAAACGAGTCCACATCCTCGTCAAACAGCTGGACACCACGTGAGAGAACATGGCCATTCCTACATGATGTTCTTCATCTACAGCGCCATCTACGCCAGGACACACATAACTCATCCACGAGCAACTCTAGGGAATCCATCTCCTACATAAGGGCTTCCTTCTATAAATACGTACCACTCACACAAAAACATTTGTATCTTTTCACCAAAAATTCAAGGAAGGTTGGGGTTAAATCCCCATGCCTTGCAGCTGTCAAGTTTGGCAGTATCACTGAGGTGTATTTACCGTGAAGCGGGCAGCAAATACACCTGATCGTATTTGGTGCAGCGTGCATGCACAGTGCGCCTCGGCCATTGCTGTTTGGGCGTAATTTGGCGGCCGTCTTTGTGTGTGTTGACGCACACTGCTGTGATGTGGACTGTCAATATTGGGAGAGAAAGGAGAAGGGGGATTTAGGGATCTGCACAAAGATGCATCCCCTGTCACACGAGCAACTGACATACTGTAATGAATCCAAATTGCACCACATGGCAGTTTGGAAGCCATCGTGAGTGAGACAGTGTCAGGAGCAGTACACTGATTGGTCACAGTGAGATGGGAAAGGTCAAGTGTGATCATAGCGGCAGACTGTTAGATATTTCTTTCCGTCGATTACACCACACAAATTAAGGCTGAAGTCTGGGCCTGCATCGGTCTCAAAGGATTTTATATTGTCATGGAATATCATTTTGCAGATTCTATGTATCAACATACAAATAGCTTTCAGACCTTGTGTGTTCAAGATTATGATCTCTTTTAAAATGACCACTTGCCCTCAGCCAACAAATTTTTTTTTTAACATGAATACCCCAGTCAGAGACTGACTCTAAGCTGTCTCGTCATTCTTTTATCCCTAATGCTCAACACCAGGAAGGGAAAGAACAAGTACCGTCTTTTAACATATTTTGCAGTGGCTAGGCTTGAGATTAAACCTTCATGTTCTCTGAGCACTATATAAATGACATAACCAGTATCAACAATACATTGGTTACTTGAGTATGATTCTAGGTAATGTATACAAATTACGTCTGTGGAATTGATGAACCAAAAACTTGACAATGTGGCCTATAGTTTAAATTTTGCACTTGTCAAATCCTCCTGCTTTCATCACAATCCTTCTTGAGTCAGGGATTTACCTTGAGTATTGTAAATGAAGGTCAATGGAACTTGTACACTCAATTTTCAGGGGTCCTGAACAAAAATAATGGGGGGGGGGGAGCCCCAGACAGTAAATGTTATTATTAATACTGTAATTGTATTAACTTATTGTTTCTTGATTGGAATTTTTACAAAAAGTATTTGGACATTTTTCTGCGCCCCTGTGGATGCACTAATTTCGTTGGGTCCATTGTCAATTTTTATGCGTATAAGACGCAGGAATTCGCGTCCTGTAAATCCCTGTTGAGTCCATAAAATGTTGTCCTGATACAGAGTTAACGATGGCTACAAGAATCTGCCTATAATTTCACACACAATTGTGCCAAAACTAACATGAACACTGTAGAATGAAATATATCATTAAAATATATTACAATATAAGGAAGGCTCTGATAACACTGGATTTCACCATGTAGTGTAATAACATGAAAAACCTTCATACTTTTGTACAGAATTCTTGACATACCATTTTTTGAGTAACATGACTTTAGGGAAAAAATGCCAAAACTAATTGTCTGCAGACCCTCCTCTACCCAACTGTATTTGTTGTTAAAAAAGTGAGAATATACACAAGAAAACCTATTTTTATCAAGAAAAACATTATTTATGGACTTGGGGTTTGGAAAAATAATGAGGCCAGACTTTTTTGTATTATTTCTACATGATAATATTTGGGCTCCAACCACCTCTAAGTTTAAGAGTCCTCATCAGGGACATCGCAAGTACATCCATCTTGGCTGTGGCGGAAGATGGAGCCATGATGGAGATGCAGCGCAGCAGGCACCAAGAGGGGTTTAAACACTGTCAATATTGTGACAACATGCCCCCTTCTGTATACCAGTTGTGGCAGACTGTTGAAACTAGACATAAATATAGGTGAAGCAGGGCTCAGTCACCTGCTGGTAGGGAGGCACTGGTTTGTGTCCACGTGCTGACGGACAGAGTGAGTGAGTCAAGGATGGAATGTTGTTTAAATCATTCTGTACAGACCTGAGTTCTTGAGAAACATAATATATTGCTGCTGTTCTGGACAAGGAACATAATATCCTGTTCGGAAAATCCATCACTTCCAAGTGTTTTCTAACCAACAATTTAGTCTGGAAAAAGACATGGGCACCATGGTTTATTCTGTTTTCACATCTCATCCACATAACGGTGAGAGAAACCGGAACTAGGATTCATTAATCCCGGCCACATGGGACTCAAACCCCCATTCACCCCTGAAAAAAAGTGAAAGCCTAAACACCCATGGTATAACATAGTGCTCACTTAGGAATAATTATCACATATAGGATATAGGATATTACTTAAACCGCTGTAACATAAATATTTTATTCATTACAGTTTTTAGAGTTTGTTCTGTTTGTATTTGATGCCTCAATCTGAAATATTCAAGCTACATCTAAATAATGACATCTGGATCAGACAATCTCGTGATTGATTTTGAGAGCAGTGATCAACACCACTGTGGTAAGATGTCAGGAAGTTAACCATGTCGTATCCCATTAGTGACTGAGGACCAACAATGTTTACAGGTTAATAGATGACTGGAATGTGGAAACACAAACAGATACATATATACACCAAAACATGAGTGTCAAAATTTGTGGTGACCCTGCACAAGTCACTTAGTTCAAATAGGTCTCTGTTACCCAGCAGGGAATGCGTACACGATATGTGAAGTGGTAACCAGATGTGGTAAAACCTTCTAATCAGTCTAGGTTGTATACTCCCCAGGGAGTTGAGAATGGCAACTGGAAAACATACAGATCCACTGGTTGGGTAACAAATAAACCCTGCAGATATGAGTACTGAATAACTGAGGTATACATATGTGCACTGATGATAATAAAATCATAACTGTATTATGTAGCTGTGTCCACCTGGAGTGCTGAAGGTCGCGGGTTCGATCCCCGGCCGCATCATACCAAAAGACGTTAAAATGTGGTACTTGTTGGTCCCTGCCTGGCGCTCGGCATTTATGGGTACAACAAGGACTGGTCGCCTCGGAGTCAGTATAATCTGTCTTAGTGGAGTATTCATGCTTCACAGCGGCATGGTATCTCAGTGAGCTAGCACTATTAAACCAGTTTCAGTCTGGGCTAGTACAAGCAGCCACAGATACACACGCATGCACATCGTCATATGAGCGAAATATTCTCAAGCACGACGTTAAACCCAATTTCCCCTCAGCTCAATTTGACACTTGTTATGCATTGAACACTGTATATCATTGACTACTTGGATCACTTACACCATTCGTACAGATCCAGGGTCACACATTACACTACCCCAAAGCCATCACCCACCGCCCCCACCCCACAGTCATCTATTTGGGAGTGAGTGAGTGAGTGAGTTAGAATTTAACGTCACCTCGGCAATATTTCAGCCATATAGTGACGTCTATTTGGAAGTATCATGGGTGATAAGGTATATCAGTAGTAAATATGTAACAATATAACTAACTCTTTTGATGTTAAAACAAATGACACCATTACAAACATGAACTGACAACAACCAAATTCGCCTTCAGTTTCCATGGTGTATCTGCGCCTACATTACTCTGAACAGTAAACACTGCTCCTCCGCATCCAATGTCAAGGATGGTGTTAAATGACATGTGTGTAGGCAAGTGTAACAGTATTGTGTATAAACTCTACCTTAGTGTATTAAATGTATAATTGTGTTTGTAAAGCCCTGGGGTTATTTAATGTGAGACAGACTCCGCAGTCCTACTGAGCACTGGTGGGATCACAGATGCCTCGTCAGTCTGTCTCACAGTCCCTGAACCACATTATTTTCCCTACAGCCAAGCCCTCTCTGCAGTGCTAAAGCCCTAAATAAAGCAAGTCTAGATTTCCTCAGGTTCTGAATCTCTGGTCTCCCTGGGGCTCCTTTTCAATTTAAATGGGCTTGTTTGTTACTATCAAAATTATATATATTCAGATACTAAGCATTAGCCTAATGCCTTGTCTGAGATGTGCTGAGATGCTCAGCTGGAGACAAGAGGTAGCAGCCTCCTACAACTGCTTGTAACTGATACTGTTGGTCAGAGGACCTGAGACGGAATAGGTCTGGTCATAGTGTCACACCCTTGGGTCTAATCATAAAATGGTCTGTTTCACAGTCCCTCAACCGCATTATGTTCCCTTCTGACCATCAGTTTCCGAGTGTTAAATCCCTAAATGAAGAAAGTCTAGATTTCCTTTGAATCTCCCATCCCACTGGGGCTCCTGTTCAATTAAACAGAATTATTTGTTTCTGTCCAATTTATATATTCAGAGCGAAAGTCTACATAAAATGGGTACAGCAACACTCAAATATAGGCTGCTTTTTCAGATATATAAGCAGGCAATGATTATTATATACACATGAGTAACAATTAG